AGATAATCTTAGTTATAACTAACTAGTTTAGTCATAACTAGCTAGTCTTAGCTATGCCTTGGCTAATCATCCTTATTCCCTTGACCACTTCTAAGACTTAGTACATATGTGCAACACTCGGTCTTACAGTACTTGGTCGCCTTGCAATCAAGGTATCGGAGTAGCGGCACCACTTGCTCGCAGAGCACTCCGGTCGGTGTACCTTGCACCGATTGCGCTTCCTCCTCCTCCGAAGGCGTGTCGTCTTCTGTCTCCAAGATTTCTGTCGCCGCAGAAATCCTTGGCGATTCTCTCGCACTGGGCCTCGCAGCTTCCTTTGCTGCGGCCTCCACTCCATGTCATGCTAATACTTCCAACGGGGTGGGAGAACCTGCCCCTGACGGACCTACTACATCATCCCGATATGTAACCGCCAAAGGCGCTTCCGTCGAAGGCACACGTGTCTCCGCATTCCTGCCTTCACCCGTAGGAATGTGCTCTAGGGGTTTCGGCGCCGAAGGCGTCTCCGCCGAAGGCACCACCCTGAACTGCTCCAGCGCCGAAGGCCCTTGCTCCGAAGGCGAATCATCAAACGGTACTTGCTCCGAAGGCAAGCATCTCTTTTTGCGTAGGCGTTCTGACCGTTGCCACACGCCTTCCTCTGTGGCCTGAAGGCCTATGTGCTTCCTTTGAAGGCTCCCGTGCCTTCGGCGAAGGGAGGTCAGTCCTACCAAGAATCTCTGCACTCATATCCTCCTCGAAGGATGGTGAGTCCCTCGCAACTGCAGCTCGCCCTATGTCGGGCCTGCTGTCTGGTGGCAAAATCAGTTTGCGAGCCTTCTGCTTTGGTCGGGCTTGCTCGTTGTTCGCCCGACGCCTGACTGGGACAGCGAGCAATTCTCGCCGACTCGGTTCTACATCTCCTTCCCATTTCCACTTCCGGGATGCTCGCGCTCCCCTCGGTTCTTCCTCCGCTCTTAGTCGAGCTGATGGTGTGCTAGCGGGCTCTTCGTCAGGGTCTGTATCAACCTCGACATCCCTCACAAGCCTTCCGGGATTCGCCAGCGACAGCAGGGGAAATTGTATCTTCTCCTTTGCTGTCAGACACCCCATCGACCGATAAAAGTTTATTAAAAAGGGGGAAATGTGATTGATCGATCCTCCCTTCTCCTCTCCTGCATGCTATCGTGTGGCCCTCCACAAAATGCAAGCTCAATGAATTGGAGTACCTGCCGGCTCCACAAATCGCACCTGCCAAGATGTCATGTAGGTAGTCATGTGCGGCTGCAAAATCTGGAGGAGTGCTACCGCGACATTCCTCCGCTTGCAATCAACATAGTCACGGATCCTATACCTGTTCTTGCTCGATTTGCAATTCTTGAAAAGGGCGTCGAAGGAAATCTCTTCTTCCTTCGAGAGTTGCACACTCGAACAGGAGGTCACCTTCCTCTCCCGCACATCTTCCTAAGACCTGCTCCCAATCACTCACTCTCCATCTCTTTGGGTGCGGTCACTAACCTCGCGGAGGCTGGTCCTTCTCGCGCAGCCACTTTTGGATCATCGCCGGGCACACCCAATTCCATCCCCATAAAAGAAAATTGAGCTTCACCGCTGTCAGCTCATCTTGGAACGCCCGCAATCCGACTTGCGGCACTCGCAGTGGAACCATCCGTAGTGAAGTAGACAACAAATTCTTGAAAATCTCTACGAGCTCCTACTGCTGCTGCGCGTCGCGAGCTCGAGTGAGTGCAAAATCAAAAACTTGTGAATGAGCCTCTCCCTCTGCGATCAAGAACTCTCACAGTTCGACATTTGGACTGGCAACGACCCGCTTGAATGCTCTATCGGCGATGAGGCGTAACGGTCTGATTCGCACGCGCGAATTCACGCTTCGCCATTGCGGGGACTCCCACACTTGTACATTTGACTTAATCCTGCCAATTTTTGCCGACGTAGCTCTCTGTCCGCGTACCGCCGAAGGCGCTCACGGCGAAGGTACTCTCCTCAGCCATTTTCCTTTTCTTCTCTTCTTCCGCCAAAGGCGCATCCTTCCACCGAAGGAGCATCCTAGAGACGAAGGCACAGCCTTCGCCGAAGGCGCGAAGGCTTAAGCAACGAAGCACTTCCACGGACAAACGAATTCCGTAATACATGCTTCGTATGTCTTCCGCGGTAGAGTCTCCGCCGAGGAGCTTGAGCCGAAGGAACTTCCTTCTACTTGCGCTAAAGGCGCTTTGGCCGAAGGCTCCTCAGCCGAAGACCTTACCGCCGAAGGCGCTTGAAGCGAGCCCTGCAACATGAACCGCCTGTTCCGTCCAATGCGCCCGTCTGTGGCCTAAGCCCCAAACCCCTAGACTGCCTTTGATTCCATTAGACCCTGAGATTCCCTTTTTACTTTGTTTTCGCGTACCGATTATTATTTATTTTAAATTATTATTTCGCGTACCAATTATTTATTATTATTTAAAAATGTTCTGTATAATGAAACACATCTGAAACCATTAATGACATGTAATTTATATTGTAGAATTTTTTGGTTATTTTTAAAAATAAGTAGATTATTTTAATCTCATTTGTTATATTTTGACTCACATTCCATACAATCTTCATATTTTGACAGCATCCAAATTATAAATAATATGTTTCTTGATAATGGAAAAACATTTTTTCAATTTGGAACTATATTTCAAAAAAATAAAAATGAAAATTGATTTTTTAAAACAAAAGAACCTAAAATTTTGTTTAGAGAATTGAAAGAACAATCCCAATAATTTTCATACATTGAATATAAAAGAAGAAAAATATCCAAGAACTAATTGGCAGAAATTTAAACCTTGAAACATATAAATCATATTTAAAACAGAATAATAACGTTTTTAGTAAATATATGTAAAAATAAATTGGGTATTTTGAGAAGTCTATAAATTATAATAAAAGATAAACATATGAAATAAATTTAGAAACTAAAAATTGAAGATGAGTACATAATATTTTCAACCCAAGTAAACCTTGATGCACTCTAAGTTAGAAATTGTATATATAAACTATGTCAAAAATTAGATTTAGGATTAGCTACTACCGCTGTACTTACTATTCAAAAATGTTTTAATTTCGAAAAAAAAACAAAAACTGCACTACCACATGGACGCAACCCGAAGAGGCAGAATTGGTTGATGACTTCCCAGATGAGCAGCTTTTTCAGATGACATCAAGTTGGGATTCACGGTACGCGGATCTCTACCGTTATTTGCTTACCTTGTAATGCCCAGAATGAATGGATGCAGAACAACGTACGGTCTTCATCCATAAGGCTGGGCCTTACTAGATCCAACAAGGGGTACTATTTAAACTACTTCTGGACAACCGACTGTGTCGTTGTATGGAGGCCTCGGAGGTAGGACGAGTTATCGCATCAATGCACACCAAAGGTGTAGGAGGACATTATGCCACCAAGAATACAATGGCGAAGATCTTGAGTGGAGGATATTGGTGGCCTACTATGTTTAAGGATGTACATGACTACATCCAACGGTGTGATAGTTGTCAGAAGACGGGGAGACCAACTCCCACCACGCGGTGGCCCAATATGCCTTTAGCACCTTTCAAAAAATGGGGGGTTGATTTCGTGGGGCCCATCCAACCACCTACAAAGCACACCCGAAGAAGATACATTTTAGTAGCCACAGACTATGCTACCAAGATGGTAGAGGCGGAGGCCACTCGAAGAGATGATGCGGCAACCGTATCCAAATTTTTGTTCGAAGCCATTATCACCAAATACGGATGCCCACTGGAGTTGGTTAGTGACAAAGGAACACACTTCTTGAACTTAGTAATTGAAGACCTCACTTTCCATTTCCAGATCAAGCATCAGAAGACTATTCCCTACAATATAAAGGCAAACGGATTCATGGAGAAATCGAATGAGCTACTGTGCAAGATATTGTTGAAGGTAACGATAAGTCATGCATATGACTGGGATACCAAGTTACCAGTTGCACTATGAGCCTACCGTACAGCAGAGAAGGTGACCACGAAGCAAACGCCATATTTTCTGACATATGGTCAGCATCCTATCCTACCTATTGAGTTTGAAGTACCAACTCATCGGATCTTGGATCGCCGAAGATTGGGAGATCACGAGAGTCAGCTTTATAGACTGCAGGAGATAGTGTCATTGGAGGAACGCAGAGAAGCTGCAAAGCAGTGCACAAAGCAAATATAGTTGAAAAGGAAGAAGGCCTATGACAAACGTGTCTCACCGGTAACTCTGCTTAAGGGAGATTTAGCTTTGCTCTATGATAGTAGACATGCTAGGTTCCCAGGGAAGTTGCACCTCAGATGGATGGGACCCTATAGAGTAGTAGATGTATTTCCGAATGGGTCGATACAGTTAGCACACCTCTCAGGGCAATTGCATGGAACTCGAGTGAACATACATAGAGTAAAGAAGTACTATACGTGAAGTGTTCGCGAGGTCGCTCACAAATGAGGAGAGGAGTATGTGATGCCTAGTTTTTTTGTTTTTTTTCAAAAATTAAAAAAAATTAAAACATATTTGTGTAGAATGTAGAAATATACGTCAGAAGTGATAGAGGTAGAAGACTTATGAGGGATTTAGTTAGAAATCGCCTTCGGCCGAAGATCTTCGGATCTTCAGACCTTCAGCGCAGCCTTTCTACAGGATGAAATAGCTGGATCTTCGGCGAAGACATGAAGATCAATTTGATATTCGCAAAGGACCGGGCAACGTTCGCACGCGTCAAGGACACTACTGGGCGCATGAGGAGAGAACGCTAGGGCATCGAGGGTAAGGGTAGTTTCAGGAACATTCGCGCCGACATTGCGATACTGAGCGTGAACGAACGAGAAGAGAGAGAGAGAAATCAATTGACATTGCTAGCAGTGTGTGAGCCTAAACTCCCCACCCTTCAGCGTTTGTAGTCCAGGTGGGGGTTCGAGCTCTCATAATCTAACTTCTCTGATCTCAACCATGTGGTCAAAGTGTATTCAAGACAATGAGATCATAAACACTTGCTATTTCACAGACAAATTATCCAAAGCTGAAAATAATAACTTGCTGTCTGCTATCTCCACGAGAGCAGCAGACAAGCTCTTTGTTACTTAAAGATCTAACCTTACTCTGGGTGACTTTCTCAATACCACAACCGCTGTGGTCTATCCTAGCTCCGAGTTCCACTCCCAATTCCTACTCAGATTTCAGTGTCGATTTCTCAGCTTCCAGCTTCAGACCCCATCAAGTTCCTCTCTCAGATTCAACTCTCCATTTTCAGTTTCAAATTCAGATCCCGACTGTCAGATTTCAGTCTCAGATTTCGCTTCACTCTCAGCTCCCATTCTCAGGTCTTCCACTCTGATCTCAGCTTCCACTCACAGATTACACTTCAATCTCAGATCCCACTCACAGATTACACTTCAATCTCAGATCCCACTCTCAGATTTCACTTCAATCTTAGATCCCACTCACGGATTTTTCACTTCAATCTCGGATCCCACTCACAGATTACACCTCAATCTCGGATCCCAATCTAATTTCACTCTCAGATACAACTCTCCACCCACGAGAGGTTGCTTCCTCCTACTTCGAACTCTCCACACTCCCCTCCTAATTCTCACCACTTCCCTGCGAAAATCACTCACTTCCACACTCTATTCCTGTGACCAATCCCACCAGCGTCTCCACACAATGGCACATCACACAATCACGGCTTGCAGGCCGAATAATCCTTTCCAACGTCCAAGGGCCGAGTCACCCACAGGCCGCGTGAATGCCGTTCCCGCGATGATGGGCAACGGCCTGATTCCCATGTGCGACTTCATGCCCCGCCGTCTTATTTCCACGCCTGACTTCACGCCGCCGCCACTGCCACACCTGTACAGTCTTTATTTATGACCACGTCAACATCCGCCGTCCAAAATATTCTTCCGCGCACCGCCGAAGGCATCCCCCGCCGAAGACACTCTTCCGCACCTTTGCTTATCTATAACAGTCACCCCGACGCCCATAACTCATGGATCCCTTAGGATCGACTCGCTCACTAAGTATATAAACGCAAGCATATCGTGTATAATATATGTAAGCATATGTATATATATATATATTATAAATATATATATTATATATATATAATTGATATATATATAATTGATATATGTATCTAGTATATGGTATAGACCTAAATATAGTAATAACTGTAATCCTTCATTTTCCTTAAATAACCTTAAATAGACAGTGACGTCGTGAAACATAAATATAAGTATAACATAAATTTGTAACTTAAATTTACGACGGTGACTATATCTAAAGATACACAAGATTGACCACATATAAGACCGCAAGATTGACCACATAGAAGACCACGCCGTATCTTCTCGACAGTTTCGGCTTGCGCCAAGTGAGAGTTGAAAGTAGAATTCCTCCAGTACAGATTTCTCCACCTTCTCAGCATTGTCTATGAAGTATTGCTTGTTCTCATGGTTGACATCTGGTTGCTTGCTCAACAGCAGCAATATAATTTTGCACGCTGCTGTCGCGTAATCCCAGCAATTGTTGTAGACGAGGTTGTAATGTTTATCGTATTCCGAAAGCCTTCTGGTAAGAATATCGAGCGGCACCAGAGTTGAGAAACCTTCCCAGGATTTTAGAATATTATCTTCGAGTTGCTTGCACTCCTCAGGGGTCAATACTTTGATGTAGATCCCCGAATCGCCCCCTTCTTGTCCTCCACCCTCCTTTTCGGCGCTGATGAAGAAATTAAAGTGTTGGCCGTCGAACTTTGTTGCCGTCAGATCAAAGACGGCAAAATCATGGTTGATATGTTTGTCACGTCCTGGCCTTGCCGATTGGCACTCCGTTTCCGATTGCGAGGAACGGAATGAAGTGAGAGCGGACTGGCAGTAATGAAGGTTTTTTACACGGGTGCTAGACATGATCGCTTGAACATCATCCGGGCTGAGATTCCAATCGTCTTTCAGATTTCGCTCGACACCATTTTGTACTTCGCCCTCCTTTATCGAGCTGCTACTGATGGTCGAAGACCTCTTCTTCGCACTGCCAAAAATCGCTTCCCTAACCGAAACCATGATGACAGAGGCAACGAAACCCTAAGCCTATGAGCTGATACCGATCGAAGCGAGAGCGGACTGGCAGTAATAAATTACAAGTACACGGGTGCTAGACCGGATCGCTTGAACATCATCCCGGCTGGAAATCTAAACGTCTCTCAGATTTCGCTCGACATTATCTTGCACTCCAACCTCCGTCATCGAGCTGATACTGATAGTCGAAAACCTCTTCTTCGCACTGCCAATATTCGCTTCCTTAATAGAAGAACCCATGATGACAGAGGCAACGAAACCCTAACCCTACCGCAAGTGAGCTGTGAGATCTCAAACCTAAGCTAGAGAACTATCTTCCGCTGTCAAGAAACGAAACGAAATGCTATGCAATGCTGTTTACAAGCAGCTCTAGGTGCTTCGACAGAGATTTCGAGCAGGACTCAACCGGAGGATTGCGTGACACAATTGATTACCTTTCTGTGTGCCAGAACGCGGTGGGCATCACATGAAAAGGCGGCGCTTCCTTCAGCAGTCACCGAGAATTGAAGAGAATCATTCTTTCCGTCTGCTTGCCAGAATCTTGCAAAGAATTGATAAGATTCCTGGCGAAAACCCGTCAAGAATCTTGCCTTTTTGTGGCCGAGCATTGAAAACGGCATGGACGACGAGACCGTCGGACGAAACATCGCTGTAGAGACATCATCTGAGTGGCCCACCTCCCAGCACCACCACCACCCACCGCGGCCTGCAGGAACTTTCATAGTCTCACAAGAAAACGGACACCCACAATGCTGGACTCTGGGGATCTCTCAACGTGCTTCATGGGTTAAGTACCCAGCCACGATCGGCTGAAAATCGAGCGCCCGAATCCAAAGCAGCCTGTGTCCGAACCCGAGCCCAAATGATAGCGGGTAATGACTGGATCATTACTAACCGAGCACTGCAGCACCTTGACTCTACAATGTAGAGTCAATTGTAGCGGCCAATTTGAGTCTACATTGGCCGCTGTCCGTTAACACATGACATTAATGCACGAACGAGCGAAGTATGCAACTTCAGTTTCGCGGTAAAAATATCATGAGGCGACAAGAACCCTAAGGACGGAGTGAACTCTGATTAGTCAATCTCGATGACCAGGTCACGTCGTTGATTCTTGGGAGACATAAAATGGTAGTTTCACATCTAATCTGAATGGAATTCCTGTGAAAGAAGATTTAACTAAATTCGGATCCATTTCCTTCTCGGTGGCATTTATCTTATTAGAGTTCAGATGCACTATGAAAATTGAAATTATGTCTATACCACTAAAAGGATTGTATTGGTTGATTTTACTTTTCGTTCAATATTAACATTTCTTACAAAACCTTGTGAGGTTGTAAAGGGTTCTCTTTCACAATATATTTCGTGCGTTATTAATTTTCTTCTTAGTTTCACGGATGAATTTGTTGTGAATTTACATTCTTTCATCGCGTCACTAAAGGCCATATTGAGTGTCAACGTGTGCCAATTGAGTCACTGTTCGTTACCAAAGGACGTGGATTTGAGATTTGACTCACTTGGGGTAAGCATTCTCAGGACTGTTTGTAGGTCAACGTACACAGGATGAGCGGTGTGTATTTCAGCTGAGTCCAACAACGTCTGACTACACTGCAGTAGTTCAATTCGTTTATCTCATGCCGAAGATATGCACCGCGGAGCACAAACTGAAATGTTTAGATTAACAATGGGCTTTAATGTTGTAAGGAAAAATAGTAATATCACATAAGAGTTCTAATACCACTAGGCCGTGACGAATATACAGAGCACACTGTATACCTGAGATTAAGTATGACAACGAGTAATGAGTCGTCAAAGTTCGTGAATTTCTCGAGTTTCGAGTTGAAGTTTTGAATGTTAAAGCCAAGATTGTTTATTCACGTCGGGGTATTCATCGAACCTGAAAGTTTGCAAGGCCATGGAATTGGGTATCGAGCTCCAGCTTGCAAAATTTCTCGCATTTTAGAGTTTTGACGCCTAAGCTCACGAATTTCTCTAGTTTCCACTTTGAATTTTGGGTTTTCATTGTGAGATCAAAATCTTCATATAATTTTATCTTGTACACAAAGCATGATCTAAAACTAAAACTTTGCTTTTATTAGGGTATCATTAGTGCGCACTAGCTTGCAAAGTTTTAAGCTGAAAGTATACTAGAGTCCAAAGTTACGAAATTTTTGGAGTTTAGATTTTGAGTTTTCAGTCTTAAGGTGAGAAGCAAAATCTTCAGACAATTTTATCTTCGAGACAGAGCATGATCTGATGTTGAAACTTTTTAGTGATTGGGAGATCAGTAGTTTGCACTAGTCTACAAAGCCAGGAGCTGAATGGATGCTTGAGTCCGATTTTACAGGATTTTTGGAATTTCAACTTTATGTTTCGATTGTTCGCGTGATAACCAAAGTCTTCAGAAAATTTTATCTTCGAGACAAAACATGATCTGATGTTGACACTTGGTAGTGACTAGTAGATCAATAGTGCGCAATAGCCTTCAAAGTTTGAAGCTGAATGGATGCTTGAGTACTAAGTTATGGGATTTTTTGAGTTTCAACTTTGAGTTTTGATTATTAGGGTGGTATCCAAAATGTTTAGACAATTTTATCTTCGAGACAGAGCATGATCTGATGCTGAAACTTTGTAATAAATGGGAGAACAGTTGTTTGCAATAGCTTACAAAGTTTGAAACTTAATGGATGCTTAAGTATGAAGTTATAGAATTTTGGGAGTTTTGACTTTGAGTTTCGACTAATTGGATGGTAACCAAAATCTTCAGAAAATTGTATTTTCAAGGCGGAACATGATCTGATTCTGAAACTTTGTAATGACTGTGAGATCAGTAGTGCGCACTAGCGAGCAAAGTTTGAGGTTGAATGGATGTTTGAATCTAAAGTTACAAGATTTTTGGAGTTTTGACTTTGAGCTTTGAGTGTTCGAGTGGTAACTGAAATCTTCAAAAATTTGTATCTTCAAGACGTAGCATGAATTCAAGCTGAAAGTTGTGAAATCCAAAAATTGAGATCAAGATCAAAGAAGTTGGGACAAGTTGATTGGTTATATCAAGTTGGTACGATATGGCTACTCAAGACGATATTTTTCAACTTCTGGACAATCATCGAAAAATTGAAGTAACTTCGACAGGAATTCAAGATGCAAGTAACTGCTTTAACTCTTGCACACAATCAAATTTGATAGTTAAAGTGATCAGAGAAGGGTGTGGAAAAGGTGTGTGTTAACAAACAAATACTCAAATAAAGAAGGGAATTGCTACGCACACCCCCCCCCAAAAGAGGGATGACCGCCCGTGACCTTAATAGCACGCTCAGATCGACAGAAGTAGCCGTCTCACTCGTCCACGCGGACGTCCGCGAGGCGCACGCGGACGACGAGCGCCAGCTGACAACAGCACTCGACGGGTTCGAACGTGTTCCCAATTAGGTACCTTCCAAACAAAAATTGCAACGTTACCGCCTTGTTTGCCGAAGCGCCGGCATGTTTGGACCTGTAAACAGCTTTTCCCCCTTGTTTGACGAAGCGCTGGCATGTTTCGACGCAGAAATGTTTAGCTTTTGGTGTTTTGACGCAGAAATGTGCTTTGTGGACGAGTGGATGTATGCATAGGAGGAGGGGTGTAAGCCTAGCAAGGGGGGGTGTGTGCCTAGCAATTCCCATAAAGAATAATGGTACAGATTTGTTTCCACAGGGTATAAAAACAACACCGAAGATTCAACAACTGTCACTAATTAACATTCTATTGAGGAGATTTACTTCTCAGGCACATGTCGCTCCCATAAAACGCTGTTGGATTAGAGCCAAAGGTCTGAAGAGCAGAGTATAATCACACACAGAACCTGAAATTTGTCCAATCAAAGCTTGCAGGAATCGCATCCGACCCTACACTCATAATTTAGGGGGTAACTTTCCGGATCCACACCTTCTCAACCTACTACTCCAAATACCCAAGTTCAAACTTGCTTAAATCCCGAATAGCCCCAAGCACATTCGAAACATCTCATCAGACACTCGCGACTTCAGATTCGGTAGCTTTGACAAACTGAAGCGCACCATGCACGGTGACAGACACATCCAACGTCACAAACGCACACGATAGATATAGATTGAAAGCCAAGACAAGTTAATTCATAGAAAAGCCCCTCAAGATAAAAGTCTTAGGGCCTCTTTTTTCACTCTGAATTTCTAGAGAACTCAACCGCCTGAGGCAAACCATCATATGGCGCAAACCCATCCAACGCAGCGGTTACAACGTCCGCTGAGCCTCTATCTTGTCCTAGCCTACGCCAAACGCCTAAAATTTCTAACTCTAAGTTTTCTCTCACCTCTTCCAATTTGGAAGAGAAATAATTGGCTAATCTAACTAACTGTCGATGACCGACGGTTCTACTGGTCTTGAGTCCCATCAATCGCCTCTCCAGCAAATCCAATTTCGTTCACTTCAATCGCCTCTCCAGCGAATCCAATTTCGTCCATTTCAATGTTTGAATTTTCCACTTAACATAATTGCATAGACATTTCTCAACTCGCAAACGCAAACTGCCGGTTGATTGCTCCTCCAACAGTTGAACTGTCAATTTTGCCGCTTTTGCTCTGGTCCGCGACATTGCTAATTGCTCCTTAACCGTCTTCAACTGATCTCGCAACCGAACGCAATCTGCATCAAATTTTACTCTACATTCGATCTGCGAAGACTTGATTGTTTCGCACTCAATCAATCTCTTCATCCAACTAGCCAATTCGGCCTTGTGCTTCTGCGTCTGCTCCGCCAAACTTGCCGTAAGCTCATTCGCGCGTCGCATCTCTTCTTTGTGGGCTTCGGATCATGCCACGATTCTTTCCCAAAGATCCATCCTCTCTATCTTCGCTGATGCAATCTCTCGCCGAAGATCTTTGGCCCTTAGTTCCTCCTCCCTCCGACGCTCCTTCTCCTTGACTAGGTTCAACCGAAGAACCTCGCATTCCATTTCCTTCGTCCGAAGTTGCTCTACACGCACCTTTTGACTTGCAGTTGCTGCTGCGCACTCTCCTACCACTCTCTTCATCTCTTCGGCGGTCTTCATCAAAGCTGCTCTCTTGCTTCAGGTCTTGTTCCTAAGCATCTCTACATAAAACCCTCCTTCTTCCGACATAGTGTACTTCTTCCGCTTCCCGTCCAGGTACTTCAACAAAGAAACTAAACTATATTGTAAGAAGTCTGGGAATGCAACTACCACCTCCTTCGGCTCTTCTGTCGAAGATCTATTCTTGACCTAAGGTTTCGCCATCCCCGAAGACACCTGAGGCAAAGGAATCTCAGGGGATTCCACCACCGTTCCTCCAATCTGTTCTACCACTTGTTCCAGTATCTCCTTGCTCAGAGTAAGCTCCCTCGCATGCTCCTTGCTAGTCTTTGGCTTTGGCACTTCTGCTTTCTCTGAAAATCTACCTCTTTCCTCTGAAAACCTCTGTTCCTTCTCCAAAGACGGAAGAACTTTACCCGAAGTCGCCGCCCTCTCCTTCGAAGATCTCTCTTCTTTCTTCCGAAGACCCTCAATTTTCACCTTCGAAGGTCCACACTCCAAACCCTGAAGGTCGTTTTCTTAGATTGCCTTCTTTTCTTCCAAAGATGTGATTCCCTCTAACATAGCCACACTATTCTCCGAGCTTTCTTACACTAATATTCGACGTCGTGACTTCGTCTTTGGTCAAGAACGAGTCTTCGGCATCCTTAAACGCGTTGTAGCCGACCTCGCCATCCGTGCTCCTGGTCCATGTGCTGCAACATTGATTTCTGCTATCTTCTGTCTCTTTGCTGGTCGTCGTTGCTGGTCGTCTCTGGTGGTCTTCTCAACTCGATTCTCCTCCCTTTCGGGCT